TCGTACCAGAGGCTGGTCCCCGAGTCCTGTCCCGTTGAGAACCCCGAGGTTCCTGTCCCTGGATATTTTAGACTGAGTCAGACCTACGCCACCGGGAAAACCCAAGAGTACAATAACAGCCCCGAAGGCAGCTCCACAGTCATGCTCCAGCTCAACCCTCGCGGCGCGGCCAAGCCACAGCTTTCGGCCGCCCAGCTGCAGATGGAAAAGAAGATGAACGAGCCTGCAAGCGGCCAGGAGCCCAGCAAAGTCTCCCAGGTGGAGAGCCCGGACGCCAAGGGCGGCCTTCCGGAAGAAAGGAGCTGCTTGGCCGAGGTCTCCGTGTCCAGCCCCGAAGTGCAGGAGAAGGAGAGCAAAGGTCGGTATGAGCAGGGTTGCTACCCCAGCGGGGCGCGCAGCCCGGGAACCCGGCAAAGAGGGAGCACCTGGGTGCCGGGGCGCAGGGCCCTGGCTGCTCAGGCGGGGCCGATGGGCCGGTGCGGCTCCTCCCAGCTTTTAGAGGGGGCTTTCTCCATCCCCAGATCACCCCCGCTTCTCCCCCGCTGCCCTGGCCCTCCTGGCTAGTCCTGGCCCCACGCTGATGGCGTCTGGCCAGAGGAAGGGCTTGCTGGGTTTATTTTTCCTGAGCTAGATCTGAAATGCAACAAAAGAGTGCAAATGACCTGCAGCTCATAAACACAGCCCCAGACCCTGCCTTCTCCTGCTCAGATCTGCAGCCCCAACTTTGACCCAGTTATGATTTCAAGGTGGTCCAAGACACCGTGTTCGCGTTTAAGTGTGTGCACCCCGCATCCTGCGAGCTTGGGGGCGGCCAGGAGAACGAGATGGCTTGGTTGCTTGGCGCTTGAGCGGGGAAACAAGGGCTCTCTGCCTCTGCGGGGCTAGGTAACCTTGGCTTTGTCTGGGGAAAGTGCCTCGAGCTTTGCAATTCATTTGCAAAGGGGGCAAAGGGGGAAGGGAGGAGAATAGCCTGCTTGGCCAACCCGGCAGAGCCAGCCTTAGGGCTGGGCCAGGGCAAAGAGCCAGGGACTCGGGGTTTTTTGGAGAAGGAACCCTGCCCCTGAGCCTCTCTTCCAGTGCCTAAAGGTGGGCCACGTTAAGGAGCTACATTTCTGGGCAATGCTTTTGTGTGGGGGTGAGAAGGCATGAGCATCCAGGAAATTCTGAGTGCCCAGGCAGGGTGGAGAAGGTGTAGTCAGTTATGTTTTAAAGGAAAATGGGACCTGGCTGCGTGGCCCCCCACCTGCCTAGGGAAAGTGGGGGAGAAGTGGCAGACGGAGACCTGAGGCAGCAGTGGGGTTTGGAGCCTTGTCCAGCCTGTGGCTTGCTTCTTCCACTCCAGCCCTGTTAGGAGCTGACCGCTTAGCATGTTGCTGGGGAGACCCCAAAAGTTTACTATTGTACTAATGTTCGGTGCAGGTCAGAAAGCTGAGAGAGGACCCTGACACAGAAGGCCAGGTCCCCGCCCATCCTATCATTTGGGGCATTTAAAGTAATCTGGTATCATTTACTAATCCCTTCCAAGGCCCACCTCGTGTGTGTAATGTTTAATACCAGCATTTCCCAAAGCGACCTGGCTGCCTGCAGGGTCATGGCCAAGGGTACATTTGAACAGACTGAGAGACAAAAAAAAGAAAAAAAAGAAAAAAAATCTTGATTTTTCCCCCCCCTTCTTCTCCCTTTAATTTTGTTAGAGGAAATCAAGTCTGATACTCCAACCAGCAATTGGCTCACTGCAAAGAGTGGCAGAAAGAAGAGGTGCCCTTACACTAAGCACCAAACGCTGGAATTGGAAAAAGAGTTCTTGTTCAATATGTACCTCACCCGCGAGCGCCGCCTAGAGATCAGTAAGAGCGTTAACCTCACCGACAGGCAGGTCAAGATTTGGTTTCAAAACCGCCGAATGAAACTCAAGAAGATGAGCCGAGAGAACCGGATCCGAGAACTGACCGCCAACCTCACCTTCTCTTAGGTCCCCGGCCGGGCCCGTGGGAGGCCAGGATCAGAGAGGGGGGCCCCCAATTCCGGGGCCCAGTGCTGGAAGACCGGGAAGGCGGAAACAAAAACCTTCTTTGCTCTTTGTTTTTTGTTTTGTTTTCCTGCTAGAATGTGACTTTGGGGTTATTCTGTTCGTGCTGCAAGTGATCTGTAATCCCCATGAGTATATATATACATATATATATATATATAAAACTAGCACGTGTAATGTATTATTTTGTTCATCGTAATGCAGGGTAACTGTTAATGCGCATTTTCATTTGGGTCTTAACTTATTGGAACTGTAGAGTATTGATCAATCCATCCATTCATCTATTCAGCAATGTGACTTTTTCATGTTTTTCCTAACACAAAAGGTCTGTGTGTGGTTAGTCCATGAGCCCATGGCGTTTTGAATACATCAGTACTTAAAAGTACTTAAATTACATATATATTTAAAAAAAAAGATTAAGAAAATCCACAAGCTTTGGGGGCGGGGAGGGGGACTAAAAAGCACATTACAATGTATCCTTTCACAAATGAATTTAGCAATTGTCCTTGGTGAGATGGAATATTGATGACTTATGCCTTGTAGCCTATCCCTTGTGGTGCATCTGTGGTTTGGTAGAATATAACAGCAACCTGTCCATTCTGTGCATGTTCTGGTCGCATGTATAATGCAATAAATTCTGGAAACAAGTTCGCTCCCTCTGCTTTCTAAAATGAAAATGTGTTACAGTGGAAATGAAAGCCTCTGATGGGATTATCTTCCTGATAATCTTCTTGTTTGGGGAAATTTGGGGGGGTTGAGAGGAGGAAAGGGATGTAGAGAGAAGCTGGAGGAGGCCTAGGGTCCTGAAATTTGGCAGTGTGGGTATAAGGGGGAGGTGGAGTGTTATTTCCATAGTTGGGAAGAAGGGAAGTCTTTTGTTCCTAGCCCCTCATTAATTGAATTGAATTCTCAGTTTCCCTCTAGCTGGAGCCTGGTAAGTAAGCTTGTGCCCAAGCTGCTTTTTCCTCAACGTTCCCCGCTTATGTGTCTTTCTCTTTGGTTTTGGTTGTGTTACTTTTAATGCTTTCAGTGGGTCTTGGCAATTTCTGGCTGGCGTGCCATCATCAGGGGCTGGGTTGAAACCAGTCTTGCCCGCCTGGAAGCCATTGCATCGGATCCAGTTCTGCCCCCCATTCCCTCATGCTCACCCCCATCCCAAGCACAAGACAGCCAGGCCACAGTGAAGCAGAGGATGGGTGAGTTTTCCCATCCACTTTGTCCTAGTTTCCTTGTGGAAGGATTTTATGCTCAGTCATTATCTTTTAGAGGTCCACATGAAATTGTTTTAAAGGCAGAAATCCCCCCCCCATTCTCCCTCTATTTAATTACAAAATGCTAGTTGGAACCACTTTATCTGGGAGGCAAGAAAATGTACAAAGGGTGACTGAAAGAGAATCTGCAAATGAACATGACTTCCCATGAAGTCCAATGTTCCAGCTGCCGCCATGGTTTGAAAACCCCCAGCTTTCACTAGTATACATACTGGAGGATCCGTAGCCTAAGAGAGCCCGGACTTCATCTATTCCTGCCAGGGAGAAGGAAAGAGAGGCCTTGGGGAGAATTGCTGACAGAGAATCCGTTACTCCAGGTTGTGCTCCAGTTTCAAAGGGTCTCCCAACAGCTTCAAGCAGCTCCACAAAAACATGTTCTTTTCATCCCTGCCAGTTTTCCCCCCTAAAAAACAACTTTTGGGGGGGGGGCCTCTAAGCGTTAGAGCCCTCACTCAGGGAGTCTGGCAGACTCTGTATTTATTCAGAGTTTTAAACTTCCTTCTCAAAACCAAGAACCTTCCCCGTTCTAAGACAGAACCCTTTCAAGGGAGCTATTTGAGAGCGAGTGGGTCTGAGTGAATGCCAGGTTAGGAACACTGGAATCAATTTGCCCCAGACCTCCATTGGTTGGGCAGGAGGAGGGGAATTTTACCTTTTCCGTTTCCCCTCACGATGTGGGGAGCACCATAGTTGTTGACAGGGGGCCATGTCTGGGAGGAAAACCGTGCTGCAGGCAAAGGCAGCTCCTCGGAACAAAATCAGAAAGCCATTGGCAAAGACAATCAGGCCCTGAGCCATTTACCCGCTTCCTTTCCGGGGCTCCAGGTGGGCTGGGAGACTTCCCGGGTGCGCTGGGCAAGGGGCAGAGTGAGGAGCACAGCCTCGCCGCCTGCATCCAGCTGCTTTTGTTTCAGCTCCCAGCCCCGAGGCTTTGTACCATGGATTTGGGAGTGACAATGGGCATTTCCCTCAGATTCAAGGCTGCCCAGCCTTACCTCTGGAGGGAAAGAAAGGGGGGAAAAATCGGAGGAGAGTGGCCCAAGAACCAGGGCCGTTTTAAAGACATCTCGGGCATCCACTTGGAGCCCTCTCGGTGGGAACCACGCGAAGACGCCCTGCTTTGGCAGGGAGATGCGGCTCCCCTGGCCTCTGGGTCGGGTGGCGGGCGGGAGCGGGTCTCGCGCTAAGATTTGGGTTCTGCCCTATGGCGTGTTCTCTTCCAGGGCATTTGCAGCAGCTCTGGAGAAGACCAGGCGCCCTGGCCGCCACCGGCTGGCCTCGGGTCCGACTGGCCTTTCTGCCAGCCCTTCTGAGGGCAGACAGCAGCCTGCGCCCAGCCCATGGGCCACCCCAGCTCACCCCTCCGGCCGCCCGGCGCGCGCTCGGCCTCCCGTTGGGGGTGCACGGGGCGTGTGTGTGTGTTTGAGTGTGGCAGGGGGAGGAGGCCCTCCGAGCCGCTCCATCCGTCCGTTTTATTAGGGACACATTAATCTATAATCAAATACACCTCATAAAATTTTTATTGAAAGGCATAATATCATTACAAAGGTCTTCCACCTGTTTTAAACAACACGACAAGCTGTGAGAGCGTGTGTGTGAGTGTGTGTGGGTATGTGTGGGGAGGGGTGGGTTTGGGGAGGGAGAGAGGCGCGGGGAGAAGAAGGACTCCCTCCGGCGCCAGGGGGCCGCCTCCGAAGGCCGCCCTGCGGGCCCCGCGCGTCGCGACCGGCGGGTCCCGGCTCCGGCCAAGGGCTCGGTGAAGCCCAGGACGCGCGGCTGGCAGCGCGGCGGAGCCCGGGAGCCGGGGAGGCAGCGCCGGGACGGACTGGAAGGCCCAGGGCGGCCGGAGGAGGCGAACAAATAGTCCCGGCGCCGCCTCCTGCGGCCGCGGCCCGGCGTGCGGTCCCGGCCGTCCGAGGGCTGGCCGCGCGCCGTGGGGCCGAGCTGGGCGCACCGGCCCGGGCCCCGCAGGCTCTAATTGCGGCGCTTATGTTGATGATGATGATTTTTTTTTTAATCACAGCAGCCCCCAGTTTAGCGGACTGATTTACTCCCGGTATTGGTAAATATGATCACGTGGGCCGCGCGACCAATGGTGGAGGCGGCAGGCTGCGAGCTAGTCGGCGGCGCGGGCGCCGGCGGGGAGCGGCGCGGCGCGCGGCGGGCAGTGTAACCTTGGCTGGGAGCGCGGCGCCGCCGCAGCATGTCCTCCAGCGGCGCCCTCAGCAACTACTACGTGGACTCGCTCATAGGCCATGAGGGCGACGAGGTGTTCGCCGCGCGCTTCGGGCCGCCCGGGCCCGCGGGCGCGCAGGGCCGGCCCGCAGGTGTGGCCGACGGCCCGGCCGCCGCCGCCGCCGAGTTCGCCTCGTGTAGTTTTGCCCCCAAATCGACCGTGTTCTCCGCCTCGTGGTCCGCGGTGCCCGCCCAGCCCCCGACGGCGGCGGCGATGAGCGGCCTCTACCACCCGTACGTGCCCCCGCCGGCCCTGGCCGCCGCCGCCGCCGCCGAGCCCGGCCGCTACATGCGCTCCTGGATGGAGCCGCTGCCCGGCTTCCCGGGCGGCGCGGGCGGCGGCGGCGGCGGCGGCGGCGGCCCGGGCCCCGGCCCCAGCCCCGGCCCCAGCGGCCCACCCAACAGGCGCCACTACGGGATTAAGCCTGAAACCGGAGCGGCCCCGACCCCAGCGGCCGCCGCCGCCGCCGCCTCCTCCTCCTCCACTTCCTCGTCTTCCTCCTCCAAACAGACTGAGTGCTCCGCGGCCCGGGAGTCCCAGGGGAGCGGCGACCCCGAGTTCCCATGCAACTCGTTCCTCCGGGACAAGGCGGCGGCGGCGGCTGGGGGAACGCGGCCGCCGGGGACAGGCATCGGGCCCGGGGCAGGCGGCTCCTCGGAGCCCTCGGCTTGCAGCAACGACCATCCGAGCCCGGGCTGCCCGCTGAAGGAGGAGGAGAAGCAGCAGCAGCATCCGCAGCCGCCACCGCAGCAACTTGACCCAAGTAAGTGCAAAAGAAATTGCCCCCTGATTTATTGCTGAAACCTGTAAGGCTCGAATGTGCAAAACTGATAGTTTTACTAACCTATAAAAACGTCTAAGCCGCCTACCCTAGCCGCGGCGAGCAACACGCACCCATAAAAAAAAAGCTTCCCATAACAGCCTACCCTGGGTGCGCCGTGTGCAGGGCAAACAGAGCGCGGGCATGGAGGCTTTTTATGATAATTCCCCCAAGTTGTGAAAAGCGACCATCCTTGGTGAAATTAATTTAACGACCTCTTCCCCCACCCCCCCCTGTCGTCTCTCTCCCTACCTCCCCTTCCCTCTGCTTCTCTCAATCCCCCTCTTTGCAGACAACCCCGCTGCCAACTGGATCCACGCTCGCTCCACCCGGAAAAAACGCTGTCCCTACACCAAATACCAGACGCTGGAGCTAGAGAAGGAATTCCTCTTCAACATGTACCTCACCCGGGACCGGCGCTACGAGGTGGCCAGGATTCTAAACCTCACAGAGAGACAAGTCAAAATCTGGTTCCAGAATCGTAGGATGAAAATGAAAAAGATGAGCAAGGAGAAATGCCCCAAAGGAGACTGACCCGGCCGGCGAGGAGCCGCTGGCAGGACCGCTCTGCTTTGCAAAGGCAGTGGGGATTTTTTGTGTTGTTTTTTTTTTCTTTTCTTTGTGGGTGCTTGATTTCCAGAAACTCTCCCGTGATTCCGGACATGTTACCCCGTTTTTAGGTAGAAGTGACTGTGTGGTTGGTCTCTGTGAGGTATTGGGGGGGCTCTGTATTTGCTCGCTTCTGTGTTGGAGAAAACCAAGTGGCTTTGGGGTTTTCGCCCTGCCCCGCGCCCTCCGTTTCCTGCCCCGTTGGTTCCTTAGGAAATGCTGTGTTTTGTGAGTGCACGCTGGCCCGAACAGCTCTCTCCTTTGTAAAAGCCCTCCGTGTTTCTGAAAAGCGCTGCAGTGTAGCCCCCAGCGCTGCTCAGGCAGGAGCCACACGCGCCTCACTGGGGAGCATGAAGGCGGAGGACTGCAGCGTGGACGCCCGAGGAGGAGGCCCAACGAGGCCCGGCCCGAGGCCCGGCCGGGTAGCCCAACGGTTACTGAAAGCCCTCTTTCCTGGGGAGCCGAAAGAGGAGCCCAGGGCCTCCGGTGGGGCGGAGGGGGGCATTGTCGGTGCACTGGAGGGGTCGCTGTCACGGGAGGGCTCCCCTCGCGTGGGCGGCTGCGGGGGTCGGCCCTCCCCGTTCCTGCCTGAGGACCAGTTGTAAATGTTACCGCTTCCTACCAATAAATGCTGACCTGATTAAACGGAGCCCAGATACCGGCCCTGGACGCTGTGTGTGTCTGCTTTCTCTGTCTCTCTGCAAAATGTCACCCTCACGGACGCCTCCCCCATCCCTGGGAGGGAGACACTGCTAAAAAAAAAATCCGGGACCTTCCGCCTCAGGGGTCTCTCTGAGGTGCTTCCCAGTCTCCCTTTGTGTGAGTAAGACCCAGCCTAGAACCCAGCACCTGGGTGGCTCTCGGCGGCTTATCTCTCCCCCAGTGTGGTTCCAGCACCTCCTGGAACTCTGTGCCCCGGACCCAGTGACAGTCTCTCCTCCGCGCCCAGAGCAGCGGAAGAGCCCCAGAAGCCAGACATTCGCTGTAGGGGGCTTTGGCACACCCTATCCCATGTCTCCCTCTGCTCATGGGGTCCCAGCCATCGATTTACCCCCACCCCTTCCTACAAACAAGGGAAAGGCCAATTCTGCACGGGGGAGCAACTCCTCCTGCTCCGCAGGGCGGGCTGGCTGGCCCCAGGAGGCCTGAACCGGTAGGGCTGTAAGCTTCCACCCCTCCCCACCAGAGCCCCAAAGTGACCTTAGCAGATCAAAATGGTCAAGGCTCTCTTCCACAGCTACCCCCGCCCTCCCCCAGCCCAGTTTCAGTGTGCATTTAGCTCCCAGCTAGGCCCTCTGAGGGCCGCATTCAGGGGCTAAAATGAAGGTCATTGTAAGCGAGGGTTCGGGCCCTCAGCTTTTGCAGGCCCCAGAGGCTGAGGCGCCGGGTGGCCTGGGCTGGGCGGAAGGCAGGGGCAATGGCAAAGTTGAGGGGGGGGGGGGTCCCTGATGAAAGAGGGGACTTGAAGGAAAAGCAGAGGGGGGCTGGGAGGGAAAGCCAAGGCCCAGATCCGGCCGAAGGTGCTGCGTACCCCCGCCCCTGCGGCCAGCCCGGTACCTAGGGCCCTTTGAAAACAGGAAGAGCCAAGGTGTCATAAAGCCATCCAGCCGGCGAGACGTCTGGAGGTAATGGGTTTACGATAGGCCCGGCGCTTCGCTTTGAAACCGTCTCATTTTGATGTTTGTGTTTGTAGGAGAAAAGGAAAAATGCAGACAAAAACTGGGTCTTAAAATCTGGACAATAAAATATAAACAAGACTGCGTTGGACCAACAAGGCAGGGCCTTGGGAGCTCCCGGTTTGGTCGTGAGCACCTAGGAAATAAAAACGAGGGTGTGTGGAGAGGAAGGAGGAGATGATGAATTCCTGATTTTTTAAATCGTCTGGGTATTAGAATTAGCCTACGGTGGATGGCTCTTTATAATATTTGACTATGGTCGAGGTCTAGTTTGCTCTTTTTGTTTGTCTTAAAAGCGGCCTTTTATTCAGAGGTGGGAGAATTAGTGATCTTGGGTCATTTGCTCAAGCTGAGGGTCTCCCAGCCAAATGGTGCTTGGGGGAAAAAATGAAGTTACTTAAATGCTTTTTTACAAAAATAGCTGGCCCCCCACTCCAAATTTCACCGTGAAAATATTGTTGGAAATTATATATATTTGATTATAGAAAATAACGGTTCCTGCTGAGTTGGAGGAAAGGGTTTTTGAAAATTGAGGGGAAAAAAGATTAATCTTGCAGGAAACACCTAAGCTGATTAAATTCTTTACTTTTTAAAAATTTTTGAAGTGGAATGCTTAGTCAATTCATTTCATTCAGTGACTTTCGGTATACACTTAAATTCCCATTTATTGTTTATACGTGTTTCCATGAACCCGGGCCCAAGAAGGCCTTCCCAGACAACCATTGAGAGATCTAGCACAAAGTTTTTAATTTGGTTTCTCTATCCCATTGCCCAGCGAAATGGACCTGAAGTATTAAAATTACAAAATTAAAACAGCAAATACTCACGGTGTAACGCTAAGAGAAACCACTTTAAAAGATTGCTAAATTAATTTATACATGTTTGGTTTTTGAAATTCCTGGCTTCTCTGGGGGAAAAAAATCCTGTTGCAGTTGATAGTTAGAAAGTTGCAATTTTTGTTAAATCTAGTCCATCCTATCACTGTAGGTGATTACAAATTGAGAACCTACTGTGTCTGGCAAAAGAAGGGCTGGAAACTTTTGAAAGACACTACTGGAAGTTCTTGGGAGCGCGAAAATGTTTGGCATCTAGGAGCCGCTGTTTGCTGGGCTTGATTTGTTGACAATCAAAGGGATGAAGCATTATTAGCCTCAGCGATCCAAGTCCCAAACTGAAGAACTAGATTGAAATAGGTTGGAGTCTAAAAAAGAGAAGTTAAGCTCTGCTCGAGGTGGTATTTGGCCACTAGAGAGCGCCGTCGCTCCACTTTGTGATCTCGTAAAGCTGGAGTGGTGGTGAAGGAAGGTTTTGATTAAAAATATTTACAATATTATTTTAGATTCCAAATTAGGATAAATTTATTTTTAAAAAAAGAAACAATGTGCACCACTAAGTTCTGCAATCGTGTTGTTAGGGATAAAATTTTGGCTCAGTCTGGATTTCAGAAAAATTGGACTATGCCACTGCTAAAACTTTAAATGCTATGGTAAGTTAATGCATCCGATCAAAACAGAAGTGTGTAAAGGCATAGATCTTTATTTATGAAGTTAGTTCTTTTTCCACTCAGATTATAAACAAAATGCTTGAAAGAAAAAAAAATGTCTTGCCCTAGGAGAAAATGTTGTGTTGCAATGTTTTCTTAATTAGGCCAGAATGTGTAGAAATTATTTTTGCGGTATTTGTGTTTCTTTTTTTTTTTTCTCACTCCGAGGAACCACACAGTTCTAGAAGATGCCCTGCATTACTGAGATCTGGGCTTGCTCTTCTTTTCCCCCCATTCCATCCCAAACCCACTCTTTTATACCGTGTTTAAAGATGCAAACACATGCACTCCAAACAGCGAAATTAAAAAAGGCACAGTTACAAGATTAGTTCCAAGGTTTTGTGGGAAATAATACTATGTTTATTGGATATTTGCAAGGCTGAAATACAAATTAACTGTCACCATCCATCCCTCCGTTGCTTCGCCTTAGAATTTATAGTAGATTTTACCTGGTGATAACCAATGGAAAACAAACACAAACCCCAACCCTTCCACTTCCCCGCAACAAAAGTCCCCTGCAGTTTGCTAATTTAAAAACTAAAGGATGACTTTATCATCTGGAGATTTATTAGCAATCCGTTTACCTAGGCTATTTCCAGCCATTCCCTGTACAAACAATTGAGAGTCTTAGACATCATCTTGCTATGCCTCTCTTCGACCTTTTCCCCTTCCATTTGCAAAATAGGATATTTAGTCCACCCGGACTGACCTCGGGATAGCGCTCACAGGTCGGGGCAACCCCCAAGTAGTGGGGTAGTTGAAATCACTGGCCTGCTGCGCCTTTGGGTTACCTGGGGATTTTAGAGCTTTGCGTTTGGCGTGAAAAGTCAACGAGGTGTGTTTCAGTATTAGCGGGAGGTTGGTCCCAAGGCCGGTGGGCCTGGCGCCCTTACATAACAATGGGTTATCCGCAAGGGGAAGGGGCTGGGTCACCCAAAGACATTCCCCCCCCCCCCACACACACACACACAAAGCCGAGTTGGCGAGGGAAGAAAACTCACTCAACAGAGACCTATCACATTTATTGGGAGGGAGAATGTGGGGGAGAGAAGGTGGTTGATGGTGCAACTCCAAGCAGCTTTAGAGCCACCTTCATATTTGTGATTCACATTCGACTTGCCCACATGAGTCAGGACGTTTGTCTTCCTCGTCACTCACAAGTTAGGATGAGCCTTTTTTTTTTTTTCCCCCTTTTTCTTTCCTTTTGGAAAAAAACCCGTAACTTTTAAAGCTGAGCAGGGCGCCCGCTCCCGGCAGTCATCGCACAGGCTGGGCGGGTGAACTAGAATCGTCAGCAGGAGACGAGCGCTGCCCGCAGCTGCCTGGGACCAGCACAATCTCAAGGCCAGCTCCCAGTCACTTTGGGGGCTGGGCGGGGGAGAGACTCCTGGGAGTCCTCCCCGCCCCCCGACGCCCCCATAATCCGCCGGGGGCCTCAGTCTGCCCTGGTCCGCTCCACGCCCGGCAGAGACCAGGGAGCCGCCCGTCCTGCCCGAGGAAATACCAAGCACCCCAGCTCGAATCCCTCTTCCCGCCTCGGAACATTGCTGCTCGCTTTCCTATTTACTCCCTCAGCCATGCTAATGCCTCCCTCCCCGCATTCTTCAGCCTCCCCCCCTGCGCCTGGTGCTGACGTCTATCAAGGGTGAAATGATGGAAACTATATTCATGGGCATGATTTCTATTAAATATCAATTAACCTGGGAGCCTCAGCCAGGCGTGCAGTGCGTCAAGGGTAAATGTACATCTCATTTCCACCAGGCCTGTTCACCTGGAAAAAAAAAAAAAAAGGACTTAGATTCGCTTTGATAACACCAGGTTTTTGGGGGTGGGGTCACCCTTGTGGCCTTTTTAATTAAGCTACTTGGATAGGACCTAACCCAGAAAAGTAAGGTCCGGTCCGTCCACATTCCCTGCCCATGTTCCCTGGGCTGCGCCCACGTGTCCAAAGGTGCAGAAGCCTCGGCCAACTTCTGCGGGGTGGCTCCAGGGGCCGGGAGAGAGAGAGTCCTTTGCTCTACAGGCTCCTGGGAGTGGCCTCCCTCCTCTCCCCCCCACCCCCAAGTGTAAGGTTCTGTGCGCCCCCGCCCCGCTGGCCGCAGGCCACATTCCCCCGGCCCCCAGGGGCACCGCGAGCCCTTGGCAGTGCGGCTTTATGGGCCCCCTTTAAGGCCGGCGGAGGCATCTCCCGGGCGGCGTGAGGAGTCCCGTGAGAGCGGCGGCGGCGGCCTCGCCTCCGCGCGGATCCCTCCGCGGGGTTATCTCGCCTCCATCTCGCTCGCTCTGCGCGGCGGCGTGGTGCGTGGTGCGAAAATGCCCCGCCGGGGCGCACCGGGGCGGCAGCCTCGGCGGCGGCGGCGGCGGCAGCGGTGGTGGGAGGGGGCCGCGGGGGGGGCGAGGTGAGAGGTGGCGGCGACGGGCAGAGGGTTGTTTTCTTTCTTTTTTCCCCTCCAGCGCGGGGGTTTGGAAGTCGAAGCCAAAAAGAGTTTTCCCGTGGGCCGGGCGCACTTTTTTTTTTTTTTTTTTTTTTTTTTTCCGGGTCCCGGTGCGCAGAGAGAGGGCCGCCGGGCGCAGAGAGGAAACAGTGGAGGCAGCGGGGCAGGTCACCCGGGGCGGCTGCGGCGGCGGCGATTATATTGCGGCCGGGCCGGCGCGCGCAGGGCGAGGCCGGGTGGGCGGCGAGCGCGGGGGTTGGGGGGAGGCCCCGCGGCCCGCAGGGGAGGCGGCCAGAGGCCGAGGCGGCGGGGGCCGCGGCCGGGCATGAGCGCCCAGTAGCCAAGCGATCGCCCGCGGCGGCCGAGCCTCAGAGGCGACGCGCGGGCGGGTGGCAGCGGCGGTGGCAGCGGCGGCGGCGGCAGCAGCGTTCACTCGGCGAGCAGAGGTCCCCGCGGCGGTGCGGCCGGGCCGAGGCGCGCTTCTGCCCGCCCGCCCGCCCCGCGCCGCCCTCCTCCGGCCCCGGATCGCAGCCGCCGCCGCTCCGATGAGCTCGTACTTCGTGAACCCGTCGTCGCCGTACGCCAAGTACAAGGCGGCGGGCGAGGCCATCCATCCCACTTACTACGACTGTCACTTCGCGCCCGAGGTCGGCGGCCGCCACGCCGCAGCCGCCCTGCAGCTCTATGGCAACGGCGCCGCCGGCTTCCCGCACGCGCCCCCGCAGGCGCATCCGCACCCGCACCCGCACCCTCCGCCCAGGCCCGCGGGGCCCGGCTGCGGCGGGGGCGGGGGCGGCCTGGGCCTCGGCCAGGACTTCTACCACCTCGGCGGCGGCGGCGGCGGGGGCAGCCCGGCCGCAGCCTACCAGGCCGTGCCCCCGCCTCCCCCGCGCCCGCCGCCGCCGCCGCCGCCTCCCCCCTGCGGCGGGATTGCCTGTCACGGGGAGCCCGCGAAGTTTTACGGATACGATAACTTACAGAGACAGCCGATTTTTACGACCCAGCAAGAAGCCGAGCTGGTACAATATCCTGACTGTAAATCGTCCAGTGGTCATATTGGCGAGGACCCAGACCACTTAAATCAGAGCTCGTCTCCTTCTCAAATGTTTGCCTGGATGAGACCACAAGGTTGGGATGCATTATTATTTTCTTTTTTTTTTTTTTTTTTAAGCGGGGAGACGGGGAGAAATCTGCTTTCAACTCACGTTCTAGTTTTAAAATCCCTCTCCCTCTCCCCCTCTCCTTTTCCGTCTTTTATTGCTACCGTGGCTCTTATTCATAAAATAATACTGACTTTTCCCCTTAAAGTAGAAACCATGAAACGACGAAGGGAACAGAATAATTGTGAAGACCTCTCTCTTTTGCGTGTGTGTGCGCGCGCGCGCACACACACACACACACACTATATATATATATATTAATATTAGAGCGAGAGAGTTGTGTATATTTCATCCCTTAAACCCACTCCAGAAACCTCCAGCAACCTGCAGAGACACCATTACATTTTTTTAAAACGTTCATTTTCCTCTCTCTCTTTTTTTTTTTTTTTTTAAATCAGCAGCTCCTGGTCGACGACGAGGAAGACAAACCTATAGTCGTTTCCAAACCCTAGAGTTGGAAAAGGAATTCCTTTTTAATCCTTATCTGACCAGAAAGAGAAGAATCGAGGTTTCCCACGCCCTAGCCCTCACGGAAAGACAGGTAAAAATCTGGTTCCAGAACAGGAGAATGAAATGGAAAAAGGAGAACAACAAGGAAACATTACAAGAGGTGAAGGATGGGAAAACTAAAAAGGAAGCCCAAGAGCTGGAAGAAGACAGAACTGAAGGCCCCACGGATTAACTTCTACCTTTAAAATTTTACCACAGACTATTAAAGCTAATGATCAACATATGCTGGTGGATACCACCTATTTTCTTGGTTGGAAGGACTTTACCTGTATTTCAAGCTACCTTCATGTCACTGCTCTTGAGGTTTCTGGTTTTTGAGAGGGATTTGGGTGTTTTTAAAAAGTTTCTTGTATCGTATAGAAACAGCTCTTGAGCTGTCCTATGTAAGGGTAATTTGATACTAACTATAGCAAAATTTTTATAATGGTAGTTTTTAATGTCTGAGCTGGTGATTTGCCTCAACAACGTAAACTTCCTAATAACTAGCACTAAATAATTGAATATAAAATGCTTTATTAATCAAACAAGTGCACTTGAATTTTAAATCTTTTCTTTATGGTGAGTAAATTAAAAGAAATCTATTATAATTTTTTAAAAAAAATTATGCCTGCAGAATATTTACTTTATTTTATTTGATTAAAATGTATTATTTATGTATTTTTCTTTTTGCTTTTGTAATAGTGGGTTCAGGTGCCTTTTGTTTACTCCTAAGAGGATTCTTTATTTTGTAAACATAGTATCTCTGGGACTAGTGTGGGCCAAATATTTGAAAAGCACATGTTAATTGAAGAGTGTAATGTGTAGTCCCGGCTCTGCAGCTTCCTAAACTCAGGGAGAATGTTGGGCCAGTGACAAAAGTTTCAGGGCAATGTCAGTGTTGACATTTAATAATTTTTCTATAGACTATACAAATATGGCAGTTTAATCTAGAGTGAATGAATACTTGAAAAGCCAATGATAACATTTTCATTCATTAATTTTTCACTCTAGCAAGTCACTTTGTGGAATGCCTCTCCTTCCAAAACTTGCTTTTGTTTTGAACTGCATTTGGTATCAACTGAAATTCTGGCCTCAGTGCTGTCGCCACCACTGTGATTTGTTTTCTGAGTCGGTGCCATATTTATTTGTATTCTCTTCTCGCCATTCGAATGCCCATTTTGAGCCAACTTACTATGTGCGTCTCAGATGTCAGTTGGTACGTCCTCTGTTGTTCTCCAGGATGGCCTCACCTGTCTGAAACAAGCCCTGGGAGCCAAGGCAGAACAATCCGCGTGTAAACAACCGCTCCAGAACACAGCTCCTTAATAAAGAAATGAATCTTTTCTAGAGCTAGTGTCTTTGAGCGCCGCGAATAACGCTTTTTTCCTTTACTCACAGGAAGGCAATGTCCAGCTAAAGCTCCTATTTGATTAAAAAAAAAAAAAAAGAGGCGGGGGTTACATGCTATAAAAATAAGTAAATGCAGTTGGGGGCAGTCTCCTTCATTCCAGAGGGCTGACTAGGCTACTGTAGCTTCGTCTTGCTCTAAATAACCTTGCTAAGATAGCGTGGAAGCTTTGAACTTCACAAAGGATTCAAGTTGTAGGCCCAGTGGGGGATGACCCAGCCTCCAGGTTACACCACAGCTTATTCTGCTGAGCCCGAGCTGATGCTGGGGTTTGGGCTCTGTTATTAACAAGATATCCATTTTCCGTTTGAGGCCGCCTCTGCAGCTGCCATTTTATGAGAGGAGAGGGGGTGGGGGGGAAAGAGGTGGGAGAGAAGAGAGGAAATTCAAGTAAACTGACATTTCTCTCCCCCAAAAGGGAAAGCAGCTTGCTTTTCCTAGATGCCTTATTAAAGAGGTACATTTTAATTTCCAAGTGGCATTTATTGCACAGGTAAGGAAATAGAATCCTATAGTTTTAGGCCTGGATCACCCCCTCCGGCATTGGTGGGCTATGTGCCTGCCACTTCAAGGACCAGGGAAATGTCACCGATTGGCCTAAAGGCAAAGCACCGCCTGATTTTCTATCTAGGGAAGAGACCATGGCTGTGGCATTCGCTGACCTGAGCCAGGAAAGACAATTTTAAGTCATGGGTGGCTTAGGGCTTAAGAAACATTTGCAGGAGAGGAGACAGCTGCAAACGTGCATGCTGGATTTGGAAACATTTTGTGCTGTGTGCTGCCTGAGACTGCTATTGGCTGGTGAAGAGCAAGGATGCCAAGTGCCTGGAAGCCCATATGTGTGGTGGGGGTGGTGGTAAGCTCGCCAGAGGCTGGTACTGGCTAAACTCCAGCTGCCCTCCAGTTAAGGGACTCCTTCATTAGCAAAATTTGTTTTCTCCCACTCAGGAATGCTCCGTAGATATCACTTTTAGAGCCACTGATTTAGACAAGATTCTATGAGGTGGGGAACCTGTGTGCGGATGGGTGTGAAATAAGGAAGGGGAGTAAAAAACATCCTTATTTCCTCTGTAGTCTGTGCTGCTCTGGAAGTGCTGTGCCTTCTGGCCCCATCGTGCCCCTAACCACATGGTAAACTCGTAGCTCATGTACAGAAAAAGACTGTTGCAATTACTGGTGTGTTTGAGAGTATTGTACATAGATAGATTTGATATTTTTTGGTAAATATTTGGTGGATTTGTACATAGACATAGATTACACATGTGCATAAAATGTTGGTAATAAATAAATGTCAGTCTGTATGTTTCCTTTTGTAGCTAAGAAAACCATAGATTTGTCTCCAAATAAAGAGCTTAGGAATTACACATCACACACACTCACCACCTTCTTTTTTATAGTAGCTAGAAACCGCCCATCGTGGTATTTTACGAGAGACTCGCAGTGACGAGTGCAGAAGATGCCCTTCTAATTGGCTAAAATCTGTTAACATCCGAGGGCTGCGGCTACTGAACAAACAGTTTTGCTGCAGAAATTTGCATAAACCTTCAGAAAACCCTTTGCAAGCCCAGGCGGCTGCTTCTCTTCACGGTACTGCTCAGGGAATCTGTTGAGAGAGGTCTGTGAAACGTTCAGAGAAGAACAGGACACTCTGACGTTAACATTAAATGAAAGAGCCAAGCCTTCGCAGTGATTTAGGTTCTTTGTTTGCGAGGAGCAGAAATAAACAAAAGAGGGTGTAGGTCTCAATGGTTCCTAGAGAAAAGTCCGTTCAGGGATTGCCATTTTGTGATGTTTCACAAAACCCAGCACTACCCTTCTCTCTGCACTGAGGGAAAAGTGCAAATATGGCTGCCTTTTCAGGGTAGAGTCTTTTTCCAGCCCTTCTTCCCCAAGGTGAAAAGGAGGGTCATAAAGCACAGTTTTTGATGAGAGAGGGAGAGTAAAATTGTCAGTTGAGATTATTTATCAGAAAATTTTATGATTGGACAATCTGTTCGGTTCCACATGAATGGAGTGGCGGAACGTGTTCATGCTTGGGAGGGCCCAACAACTTGCCCCATTTTCTTGTATAATTAAAAGCATCGTTTTATTATTCTTCAGTGGAGAAGGTGCTGCTATTTCGCATCCAAGCTTGTGTCCTGTGCTTCTCCAGTATCTGCTGAATCCTTGGGCATCTGGGGAGAGAAGGGGGGTGGCGGGGAGAGCATTTTAAAGGAGTCTGGCTGCTGTTACAGGTCCCTCCAAAAAAGTTAAACCCCACTGATTTTTTTCTAGAAAGAATATGACTTTTGCTGATAGATGGCAACATAAGACCTTTAATCAGAAACACCCAAGGTCATCGGAACTTTTTCAAGAAATACAAATGGCCTGCTCCAGAGGGGCTGTGCTCTTCCTGCTTAGGGGCACATCCACTTAGGTACTTACTGTGTGTGTGGAGGTGTTAATAGCAGAGAACTTACACAATCATCCAGTGCAAATATTTACAAATGTATATTACTAGAGGCCCAAAGACAGTGTCCTTGAAAGGAAGAGGAAGGAGTTACCTCTTTCAGGCAGGTTCTGAAGCCGGATGGCCATGCCCATGCATTAAGGATGAGGGAGGAGGGGGAGAGAATGCTAGAACTGGCCAAGGACGTTTACTTTCACCGAGGTTCACCGGAGCAGCTCCCATCAGAAGTGCAAAAGGAATGTGATTCCTGCCTTTGAATGAAAATGACCCCCCCCCCCTCCAAGGCTGAAACTGGGAGTCACTCTTTTCCTGAATAAATGAGGCCTCTCCTCCCTGATAATATATTGAGCAAGCTTTTCAGTGGACAAACATTGGGGGAGGGGGCAAGGGAAGAGGAGAGGAGCTAGAATTAAATTCCATAGAAATTAGAACTGCACTGAGGGGAGGCTTCAAGGAAGAGGTTTCTGAGGGGAGCCAGAAGGATTGCGTCTCCTCTAACCCAGAACTCACCAGGAGGATGTTTCTGCTGAGATAAAGGTCAGGCATGGGGAGCTCAAACTATTATTTTGGAGTTGACAGGTATCTAAAACCATTTCCAGTCTTTGAGCTGGTTGGTGACTTTCCTACCACACAAACCCCAAGGAGTAGGATAGACCCCAATTTATGATGGAGAAGGGGAGGGAGGAGAGTGCGATTTCTTGGCCTTCAGATTTTCTGCGCAGGATCGCTGGCGCTGGCTGGCCAGGAGGTGAGGGGGCAAACCCCGAAAGTGCTTGGCTGCCTTCGGTGCGGGCCTTTTGTGAGGGGAGGGGAAGAAAAGCTGAGTGCACCCCCCCCCCAGGGGAAGAGGAGCTTTGGAGGGAGGTGATCACTGCCGGGATGACCAAGTGTCTTGGCTGTCTGTACCCCGCCCTCCTTCCTCCTCTGACACAGCGCCAAATTGGGCAGATTGTTTAGAGGCAAAACCAAAACGAAAAATATATTTCCTAGAAAAGGTGAGAGAGTCAGGAAGCATGGAGGCAAAAGAGCAGAGGAAATGGACAGAGAGGAAGAAATGCAGACAAGGAAGGGAGGAAGGAAGACCGGAGAGAGAAGGGAGGCAGGGAAGGATGGAATGAAGGAGAGGGGGTGAGAGAAGGTGGGGGAGGAAGAGAGAAGGTGGGGGAGGAAGAGAGAAGGTGGGGGGAGGAAGAGAGAAGGTGGGGGAGGAAGAGAGAAAGTAGAGGGGCGGAAGAGAGAAAGGGAAGGGGAGGAAGAGAGAGAGGAGAGAGAGAGAAGGGAGAAGAGAAAAAGAGAGGGGAAAAAACATGGCGCTTGCGAGCTGTACGTGCAAAATCCGCAAGGAATTGCAGTAAATTCCTTTTTGTTTGAAGAAAATTTACAACTTGGTAATAGACCTTTTTATGACCTATTTGCGGTCGTCATTGGCTGCGGCTGGTCATGTGCAGGCGCCGCTCGCCTTCACGGCCTTTTTCCTGATTTCCCAGGCGAATTTCCCCCCTGCATTCTGCCTTCCCGAGCCTCACCCCCTCTTTCCGTAACCTTTGTCTCCGCAGAGGTGGGCTCCAGTCGCGGCTGCGGGAGTGCGGGCTCCGCGGGCCTGGGCTCCCACCCGCCGCCGCCGCCGCGGCCTCCGGAGCCGGGGGGAGCCGGCTGCTCGCGGGGAGCCCGCGGGGGGAGAGCCCGGAAGGAGCCCCGGGCGCCGAAACGCCCGCCGCCGGCGCCGGCACCGCCCGCCCCGAGCCCCGGGTCGGCTCCGGGGGCCGCAGTGCCGCCGATCCGACCGGCTTCTTCTCCAACCCGCAGATCCATGCGGCCCCGAGAGCGCGGAGCCCGGCAGCGCCGGATGGATTACAGCAGCCGCCCCGGCCGCCCCCCGCCCCAGCCCGCAGCCTCCGGGTAAGAGTCTCCGCTCCCGGCGCCCGAGCTCTGCCCCGAGGAGGAAGCTGGAGGCGCCTGGGGCAGCTCGGTGAGCCCGGCCCGGCCTCCTGCGCCGCCCCAGGACCTGGGGGAGGCGGTCTGCGCCCCCTGATCCCACATCACTGGCCTCCGAGCCGCCGCGGGGGTCCCGCTGAGCTCGGAAGTGGAGGGGAAGCCCCATTTCCTCGGGAGAGGTGGAGGGTGGCAGACTGGATCCCAGTGCCTGGATCCAGAGCTCCCAGTCCCCACCCGGGGGAGAGGGTGCAGACGGTTCCTGGACGGCTTTGCTGGGGGCCCCAAAGCACCGTGTAGGATACCGTTCTGCGGTTTGTCTGGGATCAGAGGTACCTGGGAGGCAAACAGGTGTTTTTTTGAGGTTTGGGGCTTAGGGTGGGGGGATGGGGGTGGGGAGTGGGGTGCCTTCTGTGTAGGATGTGCTTGGTTTGTTGTTCATCTAGGTTTTTGGTAGGCGATGCTGACGGATTTCTGCGTGTGTGGTTTATATTGGGCCTTGTGTATGAGATGGAGTTTTAAATATTTTAAACTGCGGTTCTTAGTGAACTCTT